TTTTTTTTTCAACGCCGTGTGGAAAATTCCGCTTTGAAAAGATTGCTTGCAAGACTGATCTGGATCAAATTTAACTGATTGCTGGCTGCTTATTGCTGGGATCAAAGCAGGGGTGAAATGCTCCCGGTTCGGACCGGATCGCCCGATCCGGCAATGGAGGCGGGTGGAGAACCAGTAGCAAAAATCCCTGCCCCGCCCACCCACCCCCCATGCCCAGCTGACCCACACAATCATCAGAGGCTTTTTTAAAAAAAAATTAATAGCATTTTTTCTACAACCTCTTCGGCTGAAAAAATGTTTTTAAAAGTAAAAAAAAAAGCCTCTGATGATCACGCGGCTCAGCTGGGATCTTCAAATGCTTTTAAAAGCCTCTGATGATCCCACTGAGTTGCCTGATTGGCAGAGGCTTTTTTTTCTTATTTCTTTTGCTTTAATTTATATGCTGCCCTTCTCCGGAGACTCAGGGTGGCTTACAATGTGTTAAGCAATAGCCTTCATACTTTTGTATATTTATACAAAGTCAGTTTATTGGCCCCACAATCTGGGTCCTCATTTTACCTACCTTAGAAAGGATGGAAGGCTGAGTCAACCTTGAGCCTGGCGAGATTTGAACTTGCAGTAATTGCAAGCAGCAGATGTTAATAACAGTGCTTCAGTCCACTGTACTACAGGCTTTTAAATGCCTCTGATGATCCCAGCTGAGTTGCCTGATCTTCAGAGGCTTTTAAAAGAAAAAAAGCCTCTGCCGATCAGGCAACTCAGCTGGGATGGTCAGAGCCTTTTGAAAGCATTTTTTTTACAACCTCTTCCCCGAAGAGGTTGTAGAAAAAATGTTTTTAAAAGTAAAAAAAATAAATAAATTGACCACGCCCACCCGGTCACATTACGCCCCCAGCAAGCCACGCCCACAGAACCGGTAGTAACAAATTTTAAATTTGGATTAAGGATATTAGCTCCCTCCGCTCCCATCACTACAGAAGTCTGAGGTTTGAACCAGAACCTCCCATGGTAGGGTTGGAGATGTGTCTATAGAAATTCACAGCTTCATTAGATAGATGGTACAAATGTAAATAAAAAATAAAACCAAAAGTACACATATAAACTGGGTAAAACCAGGCTTAACAGCAGTGACTGTGAGAGGGATCTTGGAGTCTTAGCGGACAACCAGTTAAATATGAGTTAGCAGTGTGCGGTGGCAGCCAAAAAAGCCAACACAATCCTAAATTGCATTAATAGAGGGATACAATCAAGAGATCAAGGGAGGTACTAATACCACTCTATAAATCCTTAGTAAGACCACACCTAGAATACTGCATCCAGTTTTGGTCACCACACTATAAAAAAGATGTTGAGACTCCAGAAAAAGTGCAGAGAAGAGCAACAAGGATGATTGGAGACTAAAACATATAAAACATTGCTGGAATTGGGTATGTCTAGTGAAGAGAAGGACCAGGGGAGACATGATAGCAGTCTTCCAATATTTGAGGGGCTGCCACAGAGAGGAGGGGGTCAAGCTGTTTTCTGAAGCACCCGAAGGCCAGACAAGGAATAATGGATGGAAATTGAACAAGGAGAGATTCAACCTGGAAATAAGGAGAAATTTTCTGACAGTGAGAAACAAATCAACCCATGGAACAGAAGTTGCCTTCGGAAGTTATGGGAGCTTCATCACTTTTCAAGAAGAGATTGGACTGCCATTTATCAGAGATGTTGTAGGGTCTCCTGCTTGAGCGGGGGGTTGGACTAGATGACCTACAAGGTCCCTTCCAACTCTGTTAATCTGTTATCTGATGGTGGGAGGAATGGAATGAATTCTTCCACCCCCTTCCCCCCACCCCCAATCAGAACTGATGAGGCTTCTTGGATGAGAAGCGAAATGTTTCCTTCTTAAGAAGAAGGGGTGGGGGTAAACCAATCCAGTTGCCTTTTGAAAAAGCACCTTTGAGGTCAGAGGTGTGAACTCATATTTTTGCAATAAGGAATTGCGATGCAGGCAAGAGATCAGATGGATGGATGGGAAAGTGGCAGGGCAGGGTGGAAAAGGAAAGGGGAAAGGAAAAAGGAAGGGAAGGGAGGGAGGGAGGGAAAGGGATGAGGAAGGGAAGAGAAAGAAGGGGAAGGAAAAAGAAAGGAAAGGAGAGAGAAAGGAAGGAAGGAAGGGGTTGAGGAAGGGAAGAAAAGGGAAGGAAACAAAAGGGGAAAGGAAAGGAGAAAAGAAAGGAGAGAGGAGAGGAAAGGAAAGGAAGGAATAAAGGGGAAAGGGAAGGGAAGAGAAGGGAAGGGAAGGGAGGAGGGGAAGGGAAGAGGGGAAGGGAAGGGAAAGGAAAGGAGAAAAGAAAGGAAAGAAGAAAGGAAAGGAAAGGAGAAAGGAAAGGAAAGGAAGAAGGGAAGGGAAGGAAGAAGAGATGAAGGAAAGGAAAGGAAAAAGAGATGAAGGGAAGGAAATAAAAGGAAGAAGAGATGAAAAGAAAGGAAATAAAGAAAGAAAGAAGGGAAGGAAAGGAAGAAGAGATGAGGAAAGGAAAGGAAGGAAGGAAGGGAAAGGAAAGGAAAAGATTAAGACCATGTCATATAAATTACACATTTGGGGCTAATTTGCTACAGTCACCAAGGAGCTGGTCTCCAGTTTCCCCTTTGATGACCTTCCCTAACTGCCATTCCGCTATCATTCAAAATACCTTCCATTTGGGCTTCGACGATGATGCTAGTCGGCGCAGTCATGTCCTTGGGCCGAGACCGCCGTTTCTCTCTGCTCTTTTCCCTTTTCGAGAATTCCAATTTGCAGCCATTTGGCCAAGGTCAAATTTGGATCTGATTTTCCCCTTCCACGTTATTGCGTATGGGTCACGAAGCGAGTTGGATCCGCAAGCATTCATCTGGCTTTCGGGTAGCTTCTCTTTTTGCAATTGCGTCTTTTGGGTTTTGTAATCTTTCGGAGTATTTTTTTTTTCCCCCTGTCCAAACATCCGTCAATAGCAATCCCTCGCTGCGTTCCAAATTGTGTTTCCCTTCTATTCCTTTGCTTTACTTAAAGAGTAATCCCCTCCCACCTTTAATTTCTGTCAAAGTAAAACCAGCCACCGTGGCTTCTGGGAAAGGAAACATGATTCTCAGTCATTAATTTTCCTGTTTTCCAATCAAGAATGTCTTAATTCAGCTTGTGGCCGAATCAATTATACCTGCAGTATACTGAATAATCGGAACAGCCCATGTATTTATGGCTTTAATTATGTTCCCTGCATTTAATTTGGTGTTCAAATTTTTTTTTCAGATTCATTTTATATAACGAGATCAAGTTCTTTTTAACTTGCTCGCGGGGGAACCGGGCGTTTCCTTTAATCCTAAATATTTATGTCCTCCTTCTAATGTTCTAAAGCACGGCCATTTTTTTTCACACTTACGACCGTCACAGCTTCCCCGTGGTCACACGGTCAAGATTCAGATGTTTGGCAATGTATTTATGATGGTTGGATATCCTCCAACCATCCTCCAACTGCAGGAGTAGGCTTCAAAAATTTTAGCAAGTGGTTCTCTGCCCGGTTGCTGGGTGGGCATGGCCATGGTGGGCGTGGCCTAGTTGGCCTCCTGCACCACGGCAAGGCGGGGGGCATTTTTACCCTCCCCGGGCTCTGGAGGCTTTCCTCAAGCCTCTAGGATGACGAAAACGGCCTCCTCAGGCTCCGGAGCCCCTCTGGAGGCTGGAAACAGGCCTGTTTCTGGTTTTCCCGAACTTCCGGTAGGCCCATTTTTCGCCCTCCCCGAGCCTCCCCGTGTGCCCTGCACTTACCTGCATCCAAAATGGGCCACGTTGGGACTCCGGGGAGGGGAGGGGCAGGGTGGGCGGGGCCAGCCAGGAGTGGGATTTGGGGATTCTCCAAACTGCACAGAATCTTAGCTAGAGGTTCTCCCGAACCCCCAGCAGCCCATCCCTGGGTCATGTGATCATCTTTTGCAACCTTCTGACAAGCAAAGCCACTGGGGAAACCAGATTCACTTAACAACGATGTCAAGAAAAGTGAAACTCCGGCTGTGTCCATGACATGGCTTCAGTTTCCCTTTGCTTTTCCTGACCTGCGAAAGTTGTAAACGCAAGGATTGTTCCCCAAGTGGCTTTTCCATCACCGCCGTCACTCCGCCAAACAGTCGCCAAAGGAGGCAGTCACTAAACGAGGACTGCCCGTAATTCGAAACGAAAGAATTCCACAGGAATGAGAGGAGAAAATTGAGAAATTTGCAGCAAAAGCGTTGGTTTGTTTATCAGAAGCCAACATCCTTGGAGAATTTGGCTTCCAGCATCAAAAAACGCCCCCATTCTTAGACTAATTACAAGCTAAAACCTTGCTGTTATGAATTACCGTACTTTTCAATGAACCATTTTAATAGGTCTTCATGACTCAGCCTCTTGAAAGTTGTTGATTATTACTTAATTACAGACGCCTGCATGCTTTGTTCTACATATGGAGTTAGTAGCAGCCGAGCGTTAGCAGGAATTTTTTTTTTCTTTGCCATTGAATTTTGCCATTCCTTTTGCATTTCCCTATAAACTGACTTCAGCCCAGGGATGAAATCCAGCAGGTTCTGACAGGTTCTGGAGAACCGGTAGCGGAAATTTTGAGTAGTTCAGAGAACCGGCAAATACCACCTCTGGCTGATCCCAGACTGGGGTGGGAATGGAGATTTTGCAATATCCTTCCCCTGGATTGAGGTGGGGACGGAGATTTTGCAGTACCCTTCCCCTGGAGTGAGGTGGGAATGGAGATTTTGCAGTATCCTTCCCTTGCCATGCCCATACAGCCCTCAATGAAATCGAGTTTGACATCCCTGCCTTAGAAGAAGAAGAAGAAGAAAAAAAAAAAACCCAGTATTGTAGGACGTCTAACTTCCATCCATGGTGTAGATGGGACCTTCACTTTCGACATCCTGAAGTCTTCACCAAAACATCCTGTCATCTGAACCATATTTTTCACCCTTTTGTATGAAATGAAAAATCCAACACTCACCTGAGCTTCAAAGCCTTTATCAGGGTTCAGAGGTTGATCCTGTAAAAAGAACATCAAAAGTTGATTAGTTTTATAAAGCCTGACTGGTCAACAGAGACTGAACTACAGTTAATGAATATACACAGGTATTAGGATTGCCAGGTCTGCTTCCCAAAAATAGCGGATAAGGGGGGTGGGTGGGTGGGTTAAGTAGTAAAAAAATAAAAAAAAAATTTACAATTAAATTACATATTTTCTTACAAACATTTTAACACGTATTAAAATAATCACTTCAAAACTTTACTTAAAATTCAAAACATCAAATATATTATAATAACATGTAAAATATTAAATTACATTTTACTTTGCGGTCGTGTGTATTTTTTATTTGACCGCGCAGCTTCGATCAATTCTTTTGTGTTTAAGGAATAATTCTTTCATTTCAGTACAACATGGAGAAATATTAAAAAAATATACAAAGTTCACTTCGAACTGATGGTACAAGCAGTCGGTTACGTTCGTCAGTCCACAAATTTCCCATGACGCTGAAAATTCGTTCAACGTTTGCATTTGATACCGGAATTGATGCACAATACTGGAACAGTTTCAGTAAACTCGGAGCTGGCTCTTTCTTGAAAAAGTACGTCCACTTATCAAGGGATGAATCGCCCTGCAGATGAACATAAACTTCTTCTCCTATCCTTACTCTCATAGACTGTACAGCTTTAGATTACGTACCATTTCATCATAAAGCTTTTGAATAAAAAAAAATGTCCACTATTTTGTGAAAGAAAATAGTGAACATAATGTGAAAAAAACGGACTGCCCGCTCAAATAGGGGACACCTGGCAAGGGTAGCTCCGGCACCTGCGAAGACCAGCGGCATGCCGGAAACCAGCTGGTGACGGCGCCCATGCCCACAGAGAGAGCTCTTCGTGCGACCTCTGACCCACATGCCATAGGTTCGCCATCACAAGGATAAGCATTTCAATTGGAAGGAGATTTCGGAGAAAGAACTCCAGTGACGTTTTTTGGGTATTCCTAAATTTATTTTATTATTTTATTATTATTTATTTATTATTATTATTTTTGAATTTGTATACCGCCCTTCTCCCTGAGGACTCAGGGTGGTGAACAGCCAAATAAAAACATCAAATACAAATATTAAAATACAGTTAAAATATATATATATAAATTTGGCCCCATTAATTAAAACAATAAACCAAACAATTAAAAACACTTAAAAAGAATTAGGCCAGCCCGGCTTGTTGGAAAAGGAAGGTTTTAAGGGCACGGCGGAAGGCACTGAGGTCATGGATTCTCCTTATCTCAGGGGGCAACTGATTCCAGAGGGTGGGAGCCCCCACAGAGAAGGCCCTCCCCCTGGGGGTCACCAGCCTGCATTGTTTGGCTGATGGCCCCCCGAGGAGGCCCTCTCTGTGGGAGCGCACGGGTCGATTGGAGGTCGTCGGTGGCAGCAGGCCGTCTCGGAGATAGCTAGGCCCTATGCCATGGAGCGCTTTAAAGGTGATAACCAACACCTTGAAGCGCACCCGGAAGACCACTGGGAGCCAGTGCAGCTCGCGCAGGAGCGGTGTTACATGGGAGCGCCATGCTGCTCCCGTCACTACCCGCGCTGCTGCGTTCTGGACCAGTTGGAGCCTCCGGGTGCTCTTCAAGGGGAGCCCCATGTAGAGAGCGTTACAGTAATCAAGGCGAGAGATCACGAGGGCATGAGTGACTGTGCACAGGGAATCCCGATCAAGAAAGGGCCGCAACTGGCGGATCAGGCGAACCTGATAAAAGGTCCCCCTGGTTACAGCCGTCAGATGTTCCTCCAAGGACAGCTGTGTATCCAGGAGGACTCCCAGATTGCGAGCCCTCTCTGTGGGGGCCAAAGACTCGCCCCCAATAGTCAGTGATGGAGTCAACTGACTATATCGGGATGCCGGGAACCACAGCCACTCAGTCTTGGAAGGGTTGAGCTTGAGCCTGTTCCTCCCCATCCAGATCAATCTGAATCAATCTGAATAGCGTTTTGGCCTCCTAGCAGAGATTTTTTTTTTTAAATGTTGCAAGGTCCCATAAAACACTAAATGAATTCGTGCAGCCCTCATAAATCAAACCAACCATTTAACTGGGGGTCAGGGAGAAGCAAGACTCAAAATATACAACTGAGTTTCATTTGTAAGCAGGAGACCTTAAACTCTGCAGGACCGTAACTGCCCCAACTGAATCCTAGCTTGAGTTTTGATAACGTTCCCACTTTGACTGTTAGGCTTTTCAAAAACCACACTACCCCTTTCCTTCCTCCCCCCCGCTCTTCCGTTCTGCCCCACGGCTCCTGCAATATAGCTAAAAACTAGCATTTTTTTTTTTAAAAAAAAATTGTTTGTGAAAATAAGCGTACTTCTTCCTGGCTATTCCCAGTTCACTGTCCAAGCAATTCACTTTTCAATTATCTGAAACGTTTGGGGGCTATTTTTAAAGGCCACCCCTAGATGGAACGCGCTGCAATCATTCGAGCTGCCAGTTATCAGAAAGGGAATAATTGTTTCAAAACAGTTTGCCGAGAAAAGAGGAGAGTTTTCTCTACCAGGCCAAGACAAAGGATTCTTGAACCCCCTCGGACTCCTTACGCAGAACAAAATAGAACATCAGAGGATTCTTAAGCGACAAGGAATTGCTTCTTAAGAGCCACCAACACTGAAAAAGTTCATCCGTTCTGAAAAGTGAATTGGGGCATTCTACTTCCCAGGATGTACTGTGTTTTCCCGAAAATAAGACCCTGTCTTATATTTTTTTTTGAACCCCGAAATAAGCGCTTGGCCTTATTTTTGGGGAGGTCTTATTATTTTGGGGTGCATGGAGGAAACCAGAGGAAATGGCAGGGACCGCCTATGCATGTGTTTAAATATTTCTGGGGAGGGCTTATTTTAAGGGGAGGGCTTATTTTAATGCATGCACTCAAAAGCCCGATTGGGCTTATTATCAGGGGATGTCTTATTTTAGGGGAAACAGGGTGTGGCTGTGAAAGTTGGACCATAAGAAAGGCTGAGCGCCAAAGAATTGAGGCCTTTGAACTCTGGTGCTGGAGAAGACTCCTGCAAGTCCCTTGGACTGCAAGGTGATCAAACCGGTCGGTCCTAGAGGAGGTCAACCCTGACTGCTCTTTAGAAGGCCAGATCCTGAAAAGGAAACTCAAATATTTTGGCCACCTAATGAGGAAGAAGGACTCCCTGGAGAAGAGCCTAATGCTGGGAAAGACTGAGGTTAAAAGAAGAAGGGGATGGCAGAGAATGAAGTGGCTGGATGGAGTCACTGAAGCAGTTGGCGTGAACTTAAATGGACTCTAGAGGATGGTGGAGGACAGGAAGGCCTGGAGGAACATTGTCCATGGGGTCACGATGGGTCAGACACAACTTCGCAACTAATAAAAACAACAAAGGAAGGCTGAGCGCCAAAGAATTGAGGCCTTTGAACTCTGATGCTGGAGAAGACCCCTGAGAGTCCCTTGGACTGCAAGGCCATCCAAGGTCAGTCCTAGAGGAGATCAACCCTGACTGCTCTTTAGAAGGCCAGATCCCGAAGAGGAAACTCAGATACTTTGACCACCTAATGAGAAGGAAGGACTCACTGGAGAAGAGCCTAATGCTGGGAACAATGGAGGGCAAAAGAAGAAGGGGACGGCAGAGAACGAGGTGGCTGGATGGAGTCACTGAAGCAGTAGCCGTGAGATTAAATGGTCTCCGGGGGATGGTAGAGGACAGGAAGGCCTGAAGGAAGGTTATCCATGGGGTCGCGATGGGTCGGACACGACTTCGCAGCTAGTTGTTGACTACCTGTAGTATCGTTCTTTCCTTGATCCCAATTCTGCCAAATAGATCACACAAAGGTACACAACAATTTATAAAAGCCAACAAATATTGACCCAAGGAAAAACTGGCCCCTCAACCACACACCTTGTTTGTATCCGTTCCACTGAAGCACTGAGCACAATTTGCTTTAATTCTGCATCACGCCTACACAGGTACACATACTAATATACAAGTAGATACATGGAGTCCTCAACTTACGATGGTTCAAAGTTTCAACGACATTGAAAAAAGTGACTTGGGACAGTTTTTCACATTTACGACCAGTGCAGCATCCCCAGGGTCACGTGGTCAAAATTCAGACGTTTGGCAATCGGTTCACATTTTGTTGTGGCCCGTCAGCGGCCTGTGCAGTTAGTAACTGATTCCAACAGCGAGGAGGCTGGTGTGGTGCTGCGCCAGCAGCCTATGCAGCTGGCACTCGAGTAAGACAATGAGGAGGCTGGAGAAGATGTGGTGCCAGAGGCGGGGATTCAACCAGAGCCTTCAGAACCTCCAGAAGCTCCTTTAAGTGAAGAGGATGAAGAGGAGGAGCCTCTTCTCGATGCAAGGGCACGCAGAGCTGCCAAAAGGCAGGAGTGGCTCCTCAGGAGGAGGTCTCCTTGAGAGTAAGGCTTTGGGCTAATTGGCCACTCCCTTAGCCTATTTAAGGAAGGACGACGACTGAGGCAATTTGCAGGGAACAACTTCATTCATTCTCCTTCGCATCTTGATCTTAGTTCTCTTATCAGTTTCCTGCAAATTGCTTCTGGGCTTTCTGCCAACCATAGTAAGATTACGCTTATTTATTCTTTGGATTCTTGTAGGCTGTTAAGAAAGTTAATTAACAGCCTTTGTTTGAAAAAGACTGATTTAATTTAGTAAACTAAGGTTTGTACAGACTTTGTGTGTGCTGCGTTCTTTGGGGTCCGTAGCTGAGGCAGAACACATTTATGATGGTTGCAGTGTCCCCGGGGGTGGGGGGTGGGGTCACGTGATCCGCTTTTGCAAACCTTCTGATCTTCACAACCGTGTGACTAACTGAACAGTTGCAGTGATTCACTTAGCAACAGTGGCAAGCCAAGTCATAAAATGGGGCAAAAGTCATTCAACAAAAGGCAAGACTAGAAGACCTCCAAGGTCCCTTCCAACTCTATTATTCTATGTTTGTTAGGAAATGGCTATTGTCTAACTAGTTGGTCAGGC